GGAGGGAGAGAGAGAGAGAGAGAGAGAGAGAGAGAGAGAGAGAGAGAATTGGCTGATCCTGTTGAGTGGAGACAGCGATTAAATAAATAAATAAATAAAGTTGTAAGCGCAGCATCGTTCAGTTACAGAACTAGCTGTCAAAGCGAGCGTGAAATGCTCTAATTATCTTCGGCAAAAACAAAGTTGGGTAAAACTGTTAGTAGCTCATGTAAGGAAGGATTTCAGGTGTCTCCCCTGCCTTTAAGTGAAGTCCCCTTCAAGTCAGCTCCTGATGGCTTGAAAGAGATATCATTTAGATTTTTCTCACTGGGTGGGTGTAATTTGTCAACCCTGAGTTGGTTGGCTGCTTTTGAGCCAAGCGAATTTACCATGCCACCAATCCCTGCATGTGGAAATCTAGCAAACCAGGGCTAGGCTAGGCTCAAAATCACATCCCTTAAATTATTTGTGTTCTTTCTGTCCTTTAATTTTATATCCCCATCATCATCAACATCTCTCTCTCTCTCTCTCTCTCTACTCCTGGAGTAGTAAGCCAAACGCATCAAAGCGCCGTGCACAAATAGAAAGCAAAAATTGTTAATTTCTTATATAATAAGCAAAACATCAAAAAAAAGTGTGTGTGTGGGGGGGGGGGAAATGGACCTCCTTAGCCCTGGGGAATTGATGGACTGGAGAGTGGAGGGTATGGAATGGAGTTCTCTGGGAAAGGGCAAGGCTGGCTGATGGTTGGAAATGTCAGCATCCCTATTGTTTGTTTAATCAAAAAGTGAAATATGCAAACTTAATATATGTCCTTTTTTCTTTTTCTTTTTAAATTAGGACAGGCAAGAAGAAAAGGAGCCAGCAAAGGCTGCAATCTCCCAGCAAAACAGAAGACGCATCACCGGGGGTCAAACCAAACCACAAAATTTTCTTCCGCTAATCCAGCTTTCAGAACAAAACAAAACGAAACTTTTCAGTTTGTTCCCCTTCTCTCCGTTCCTTCGGCAGTCCGTTGCCAAAACGGAAGGATCCCAGATGGAAAAAAAGGGCTAGGAAGTTTGTGGAGCTGGTTGCGTAGACACACCGACTGTTTATAAATCCATCTTAACACACCCCACGACTTGGCAGAAGCGACTTCCATTCCTTCCCGACGGCCACCGTCATTCCTCCTTCGCTCCCGAATCCAGTGGCAAAGGTTCAACCAAGGCAATGCACCATCCTCTCTATCTTTCTGAACGATTTTCCTTGAGGAGAGAGAAATCCTAGATGGTTATAACCTTGTTGCAAGTAATTTGGAACAGCAGCTATCTGGAAGCAAAGCCAGGATAACAAAAAACAAAACAAAATTATATTTTATTTTGCTTGAAGTATTTATTCTTGGCTAGTTATATACGGAAGTGGAGTTTAATTGGTCCAGGGGGACTGTCCATTCCTGCTACAGTTAAATACACTCTTTAGTTGTTAAGACTTTATTTATATATAGGCACATTATATACTGTCTATGTAGGCATCTTCTCTTCCTGGTTTTCTTGGTGAATTGATGATTCTTCCATTTCTACACCTGTGGAGATTTTAGAAGACTCTACAAGGAATTGTGCCCCTCCAAATGCGAATTGATCTTGGCGTTTTCTCAAAACCTTAGGAAGCCGCAGATTGGCTGGACTTTATTGGAGTCATATGCTGTAGTATCAAATAATGCAACCAACGTGCCCATTTTGCGCCCCTGCCGCTTCAGTTTTGGGGTTCGGCCTCAATTGCATCAAACAAGCACCTTTAGCAGAGGGGGGTGGGGGGTCTTTCAAAAAAGGCCCCGGTTTTCCCATCAATACCGAACGTGGCTAGGAGATACTATCAAGAGTGACGATGTTGGGTTAACGCAGTGCTTCTCAACTTATTTAAAGTTGCGTGGACTTCCACTCGGAGAATTCCCCAGGCAGGACGCTTTTATAGAAAAGTTGGGCCAGGTGAATTGCTTGCAATATCCAAGCCAGGTAAGCTAGGTTGGAATCTAGGAAAAAAAAACAGGTCTGTGAATGGCGAGGGGGAGGGCAGCTCAAAGGAGGCCAAGGGCCCATTTCAGAATCAGAATAGAGCTGGAAGGGACTTTGGAGGTCTTCTAGTCCAGCCCCATGCTCAAGCCGGAGATCTTCTACCATTTCATTTGGAGGGGTTCAGCCAAGGGGCTAAAGGCCACTAAACAAAACAGTTGTAAATCGAAGAATACCCGTAATTCGTGTTTTGCTTTAGATTTAGAAGACCAGGCTCCCTCTAGGGGCCAGGAGGAGTATGGAAATTTCTATCGCCTTCATTTGGTGCCCTCAAGCTCAGAAAACTTAACAGGTAACAGATCATCAGAGTTGGAAGGGACTTTGTAGGTCATCTAGTCCAACCCTCCACCCAAGCAGGAGACCCTACACCATTTCTGACAGATGGCAGTCCAATCTCTTCTTGAAGGTCTCAAGTGATGAAGCTCCCACAACTTCCGAAGGCAACTTCTGTTCCATGGGTTGATTGTTCTCACTGTCAGAAAGTTTCTCCTTATTTCCAGATTGAATCTCTCCTTGTTCAGTTTCCACCTATTATTCCATGTCTGGCCTTCAGGTGCTTTGGAAAATAGCTTGACCCCTTCCTCCTCTCTGTGGCAGCCCCTCAAATATTGGAAGACTGCTATCCTGTCTCCCCTGGTCCTTCTCTTCCCTAAACTAGCCAGGCCCAGTTCCTGTAAACTTGATTTATGCAGGAAGAGGGAAGCAGTTTTGAGAAAGCCGAAATCGCTTCCTTCAGACAGCAGAGGGAAGGATAGCCCACAACCAACGGCCTCAATAATAATAATAATAATAATAATAATAATAATAAATCATGATATTCTGCTTTTATTAGAAATAGAATAACAGAGTTGGAAGGAACCTTGGAGGTCTTCTAGTCCAACCCCCTGCTTTAAGCAAGAAATCCTACACCACTTCAGATAAACGGTTGCCAATCTCTTCTTAAAAACTTCCAGTGTTGGAGCCTTCACAACTTCTGGAGGCAAATTGTTCCATTGATTAATTGTTCTCCCTGTCAGGAAATTCCTCCTTAGTTCTAAAATCGCTTCTCTCCTTGATTAGTTTCCATCCGTTTATTGCTTCCTGTCCTGCCTTCTCAGGTGCTTTGGAGAATAGCTTGACTCCCTCTTCTTTGGGACAGCCCCTGAGATATTGGGACACTGCTATCCTGTCTCCCCTAGTCCTTCTTTTCATTAAACTAGACATACCCAGTTCCTGCAATCGTTTTTTATATGTTTTAGCCTTCAGTCCCCTAATCCTCTTTGTGGCTCTTCTCTACACTCTTTCTAGAGTCTCAACCTTTTTTTTACATCGTGCCGAGCAAAACTGGACGCAGTACTTCAAGTGTGGCCTTATAAAGGGATATTATTAACCCTTCACGTGATCTTGATTCTATTCCCTCTGTTTGTGCAGATATTGATGCCGATAAGACCGAGTTTTGGGGCAGCCTCCTAAGAAAAACCGACCTGCAGGTTAGTAATTCCAAATCGGCCCACGCATGTGACTAACGCACCAGATCAGCCATCTCTGAACATGAAAAAAAAAAAAACCACGTCAAATTCGGTGTGCTTTTATTCAGGGGAGAGGGGATTGGTGAAAGAGGACGGAGTGAAAAAAATATGTATAATACAAAGCTACACATTTTGCATTTGACACGATGGTGTGAAGGGATTTTTAAAAAACTACAACAACTGATCTATTCCAGTGTTTTGGTTTCAATGGCTCACTTCAAAGACAGAATTTTTTTTTTTCACCCTTTCTGACGAAAGAGCAAACACATTTCCACCCTCTACAGACGGTTGCAGTTCAGTCTGGGTGCAATTGAAAGAAAAGTACAGTCTTGAAATAAGAAATGCATCCCAAATGGGTCGAGGATTCCAGAGGTGTCCTTTTTTGAGGGCTGAAATGCACGACAAGGCAACAAAACGAAGAGCAGTGGCTTTTGGCTAAAATCCCATCCGGAGAGGATGGAATTAAAAATAATAATAATAATAATAATAATAATAATAACCCCAGCTAAAAGCAAGCCACAAATGCCGCAGGGAGGAAAGAGAAATTGGCTTCGGTGCGGAAGGAGATTGCGTGGTTTCATTGCATAGAATCTCGGTCAGTTCAGAAGGAGTTTAAAAAAAAAAAAAAAGACAGAAGAATTCCAGGACATCCACAGGCAACTTCCCAAGTCAGTTTCCCAGTTTCCTTCCCCGTGGAAGGAAAGGACCCTAAATTAATAACCATGCAACTTCGGTAACACAAATAATCACTAGTTCTGTTTTCTTTGTTTTAAAGGGATGGGAGGTGCACGTATCGCAAGAGTGGAGAAACCTGCGGTTGGCCGTAGCCTTCTGGATTTTTAACTCCCCGTAAACCCAGCTAGCGTGACCAACGCTAAGGGTGGGGTTGTGTTATTCTGACAACTTCAGGAAGCCCCCCCCCCCAAAAAAAAGCGGCCTTGATGGAAAGCAAGGCAGGGAGAAGACAGCGTCCTACTTTAGGGACACGCTGCCTTCGGAGGGAAAGCGTGTGGCTACCACAACGCCCGTTGGGCCCGAAACATTTGGCCTACGCAGGAATGGGGGCCGCTGCTCTTTAGATCCTAGCTAGCTTCCCTCGCATCAAGATCACAACCCCCAATTAAAAGAGAGTTGAAGACACTCTCCGACAGGGGGATTTAAAGTGGCTGGATTTCTTGGCGTGGCCTTTGGAGAGTTTTAAGGAGTGGCCTGCTTCGATTTGCATAAGGACGGGCTCGAGTTAGGACATCCACACAGGTCGCAGGTGGGAGAGAGGGAAAGTGGAGACTAGAAAGCAGAGACAAACCCCTCGTTGGGTTTGGGCCCTTCCTGAAGGATGTAGATTGTTTTTTTTTACGGAGCACCAAACTGGACGTCCAGAGAAGACAGGTAGTCCTTGACTTACGAACCGTAATTGAGCTCCAAATTCCAGTTGCTAAATGAGACGTTTGTTGAGTTTTGCCTCATTCTGTGGCATAGTAAATCGCTGCAATTGATGTTAGCAACTTGAGTGTTAAGTGAATCTGGTTTCCACACTGACTTCGCTTGCCAGAAGGTTCACACAGTCGGTAGGGACCTTGGAGGTTTTAATAGAGTAATAGAGTTGGAAGGGACCTTGGAGGTCATCTAGTCCAATCCCCCAACCAAGCAGGAGACCCTACACCACTTCAGACAAAGGGTTATCCAATCTCTTCTTAAAAGCTTCCAGTGTTGGAGCATTTACAACCTCTGGAGGCAAGTTGTTCCACTGGCTAATTGTTCTCACTGTCAGGAAATTTCTTCTTAGTTCTAGGTTGCTTCTCACCTTGGTTATTTTCCATCCGTCACTTTTATAAGGGGATCACCGCAACGGTCGTAAGTGTGAACCAGTTGCCAAGCCTCCAAATGTAATTCACGTGACCCTGGGGATGCTACAAAAGTTGTGAAAAATGGCTATAAATGTGACATCTTTCAGTGGCGTTGTAGCTTCGGTCACTAAATGAACCATTGTAAGTCAAGGACTAGCTGTGTTCCCAAGCACCCACCTTTCTTCTAGCTGCTGGCGAGCGGAGACCATGGGGTGAGCTGCTGACCCCTTAAAGAACTAAGTCCAAAGGGCTTCCAAAATGGGCCAGGCCTATCCAAGGTGGGGGTTTGGCCGCACAACGCACATACACTCACACACACTCACACACGCACACTAAAAACTCAGGGAGCAGGCTAGGATTTTACTAAAAGAAGGGGAAACCTGGCTGGGTCCTTCTCGGGCGCGAAGAAGATTAAAAAGGGAGAATCAAACCTATCTGGATGCTCAAAAAACGGCAAGGCTGCCCTGAGCTTAAGGCCTCGGTCAAACTCTAGGAAAAATAAAGAAATTACACAACAGGAAGAAGGGAGTGTGCTTTCTAGCAGCCTACCCCGCATCTTGAGAGAAACAGCCCCCCCTCTGGAAAGCCTTTTCAATGCCATTTTGTTTCCAAAAAACGCATACACAACCTCCAAAATATGGCACTTGAGTTTCCCTTGAAGCATGGCCATTTCCTCAAAGCAGTTGGTTCCTCGCCGGCTAGGAGGCCTCAATCCCAACCATGGAAATCACAGGGTCCAGAGCAAAGAGACTTCTTGAAGATGCTTGGCCACCAGGAAAATGAAATTTGGCGTCCCATCTGGGTCGCCAGAAACATCTCTCTCTCTCTCTCTCTCTCCTAAAGCTAACCCAACGTGTTAAGAGTCCCCGTTTCCCGCCGATTGGAACGAGTCCACTCGTCGCACGGAAGCCGGATGGCTCCTGTTGCCGATTCTCTACTTAGGCGCTTTCTCGGTGACTCGATGGCTGGCCTAGTATTTAACAAGTCCCGACAGCTACACGTTGCTGACCCGGGTCTCGGCGGACAGAGTCGTGCTGGTGGTAGAGGAGGCGAGCGAACGATCGCGTCGGACGTAACGAGGTTTCCGGACTGGAGCCAAAAGAGAGAGACACAGTTAGTTTCTATCCCGAGTCTCACAAAAGAGGCTTTAACATTCAGTCAAAGGATTTTGTTCAGACCTAAGCTTCCTTAGAAAGCATAAAACACAATCTTAATCCCAGGCAAAACCTCTATTATTTCCACAGCTGTGAATTACGTTCATTCACAGCCTGCCAGGTTTCACAAACAGTCTTTCAGGGGAATGTTGATAAACACCTACCTTATCGCACTTGGGATGCGGCCAGAGAATTAATTGCCAAATGCAGAGCAAGGCCAAACTTGACACAGAGTCAAACAGAACTTTTTAAAGCTTGGATCGACCAGACAAACTAATTGCTTCCTGCAAAAGCTCACATCCCATTCACTCTTCTTTGATGTCCTATGGGAGGGGGCCAATCATCTCCGAGGTGTGGCCTTACTTCTGAGTCGACCCTGCTCTCTCAATTGTTCCGGTCTTCTGGTAATCATGCGCATGCGCAGGCTGGGAACCGGCTCCAGAAGCTTCCCCGCCTAAATGGTGACTGAATCCAAAGGCAGCTGCTGACTGCCGGCCTGCCCTGGGCCCATCCCTGCCTCCTCCTCTAGGCCTTCCTCAGCCTCCAGAACCAGCCCAGGTTCCTCTCCAACCTCCTCCCTACTATCCAAATCTGCTGCCAGCTCCGTCAGCCGCCGGTGGGCCACAACAGATTTCTGTATCTTTCTCTTCCAACATCGGCTCATCCCATCACACACATACACACACTTTTTAAAGAAAAGAAAATAAAAGAAAAATTGGTTTTTTAAAAACAATATGCAAAAAGTACACACTATTTTGATTTGGGAAACAAGGGCCTCCCTAGGGGACGGTGTAAGCCTCCGATTCCACATGCTTATTAAGGCAATTTTGTTGACGAACAGGAGGTAGGGAGAAATCCCGCTGCCCCTCCCAACTGTAATTATTTTTTTCTGCTCCAGTCTCCCGCCACCCGAAACAGCGCACACATTTGCAGTCTGCAGAGACCCAAAACGAGCCACCTGGGAATTTATTCCGGCAGATTGAACTGTTGGAGGCGGCAAGGCACGCTCAAAAAATGCTTCCCTCCACCCGCCACCCCTCCAAGCATTCCTGTAAAACTCTTGCACTGCTCGGTCTGTTTCTAAAAGAACCTTAACTATTTACGGGAGTGGAAATGGGGAGAGAACCATTACGAGCGGTCGTAGTTATGCCTGGGCCAGGGGAAACAAAGAGATGCTTTTTGTTAGGAAGAGATTTCTTGGGATAATTTTTTTTTTCTTTAAATCTTCCTTTTCTGGATACAACTCAAGGACTTATTCATGCTGAAAGAAGTCCTTGCTACCGAGGGCATCCGGAGAAAGCATTTTGCACACGCAAGAGATGGAAGAGAGAAAAAAAAAAAGAAATCCTTACTTGAAGAAGGTGGAGATAACATGGATGCCTATAAAGGAAAGAAAAAATCAAGATGAAGTTTGGAAATGAGTCAGCCTTTCATTAGGATAACCCTCCCCCCCTCCCGTGTCCCCGTTTTCCCGGAAAATTGCCGATTCTACCCGTAATTGGGGGAAAAAAGGGGATCGATGGTGATCTCATCCCGTAATTTCTTACTGGGAATTGTATTATCAAGACCGGTGTTGTTCAAATGTGCCCACCTGGAAGGTGTGCGGACTTCAACTTCCCAGAATTCCCCAGGCATTCTGGCTGGGGAATTCTGGGCATTAAAATCCATGCAATTTAAATGCGCAGGTTTGAAAAACACCGGTGCGGGCATTTCAATTCTGCTGTGTCTTCTTGGATTGCAAAAGCACCACCCTCTAAGAAAAAAAAAACCACAAGTTTGCTAACAGATCGGAGGAAGGAGACATCTAGGACCTTCCCGCCAGTGGCAGCTTCCACACCCATCATCCTCAGCCGCTTCCTTGTAAGGCTTTTTGCAAGTTCCTGGAAAACCCCCAAAGGTGGATCCGTACTTACTGATTCAGCAGACTGTACAATGGACCCTGGGAAACACAGAAAGGGATGAAAAAAAATAAAATAAATAAAAGATGGTTTGAGAAGTCTTGTTTCAATTACGCGCACCGACAGCAAAAGGCTGCTTTCCCTACCCAAGTGAAATGCCAAGGAGAGGAATCTTAAATTCTTCCAACCACCCAAAGGTGATTTTATTCCCCCCCTGGGGGGTTGGAATAACAGAATAGCATAGTTGGAGGGGAGCTTGAAGGCCTTCTAGTCCACCCCCCTGCTCTAGCAGGGGACCCTATACCATAAGGAACCTCTGTGGCGCAGTGGTGAGAGTGCTGTACTGCAAGCTACTTCTGCTGCAGCCATCTGCCTACAATTTGGCAGTTCAAATCCCACCAGGCTCAAGGTGGACTCAGCCTTCTGTCCTTCCGAGGTGGGTCAAATGAGGACCCAGATTGTTGGGGGCAAGAGGCTGACTCTGTACACCGCTTAGGGAGGGCTGGAAAGCACTATAAAGCGGTATATAAGTCTAAGGGCTATTGCTATTTCAGACCAACGCCTCTCCAATCTCTTCTTAAAAGCCTCCATTGATGGAGCACCCACAACTTCTGGAGACTAATTATTCCACTGATTAATTGTTCTAACTGTCAGGAAATTCCTCCTTAGTTCTACGTTGCTTCTCTCCTTGGTTAGTTTCCACCCATTGCCTCTTTGTCCTGCCTTTTGGTGCTTTGGAGAAGAGCTGGACTCCCTCTTCTTTGGGGCAGCCCCTCAAATATTGGAACACTGTTCTCATGTCATGTCCTTCTATTCCTAAGACTAGACATACCCAATTCCTGCAACCTTTCTTCGTATGTTTTAGCCTCCCGCCCCGCTAATCATCGTCTCTGCGACAGCCGGCAGACAAACCTACCTTTGCTTCTTCGATAGAAGAGATTGGGGAGTTTATTGGCACGTTTGAGGTAGAAGAAGAATGCAACACAGAGGATGAGGAAGAGGCTGATGACAAAGGTGCCAAAAATTAGGGAAGCCGCGACTTCAGGGCCTCCTAGATGAAGCCAAAACAAAACGGAGAAGCATCTCACAAAGGGAACGTCCTTTTTTTTCCTAACTTTGCAAATTAATCCTTAGATTGGCAGGCAAGGGTCTTGCCAACCGCCTCTTCGGCCTGACTCACCTACACCGAGGGTCTCTGGAGTTAGGGTGGTTATGTTGATTAGAGAGTTCAGTTCTCCGGCTGCATCTAGAAAAAAAGCCATACATTTGGAGAAGAGAGAAAGAAAGAATGTCCAAAAGTGTTCTGACCAAGTCTTATGGAGACACTAACAAACACATGTTAGTACACCAATACAAACATAGTTGCTTCCTGCAAAGATCCCTGTCCCTTTGCTCCTCCTTTATATGTTATGGGAAGGCCAATCACCTCCAAGCCATACTCCTGAGTTGCCTATTTTGTCTTAAATGCTCTTGCCTTCTGGCAGCTCTGCGCATACGCGCACTGGGAACAGGCTCCCCTTGTTCCTCTGCCTCGCTGCTGCCAGATTCTGGAGGCTCCAGAGTCTGCACATAACTCCCAGATGGCTCTGGTCCCATCTCTGTGTCGGACACAGATTCCCTCATCCGAGCCCTCCCCAGACTCCCGGACTGAACCATGTTCCTCCACACTGTCTGACTCTGCTGCCTTCTCCACAGGCTGCCGGCGGACCACAACAAAAAGAGAAGAATTATTTACAAGTCTTATTTTCGGAGGACTAGAATCTTGGGCTGTTTTTCACCCCAGCATCCTGAACCTTCAAATGCCTCTCTCCCGCCCTCTGCTGGGCTGAGAGGGGAAAAGCAGTGAGAGCGTGATTATCTCTGCCCCAAAGGCGAGGACCAGAAGAGCATCCGCCACTCACCGTTTTGACAGTCTGTCAGGTTGTATGCTGGAGCCGCAGGGAGGGTCTCGTTCTCACATTTCACGCAGCTGCTGCTGCCGTCTTCGTTCCACCGCCTGTAGCAGCCTGTGTGGTGTGAAGGGTGAGGGAAGGGAACGGAAGGGAAGGAAGGAAGGAAGGAAATGAATTTGAAATAAGGAAGAACATAGGAAGGAAGGAAGGAAGGAAGGAAGGAAGGAAGGAAGGAAGGAAGG